GAGTTGGACTAGATGACCTCCAAGGTCCCTTCCAACTTTATTATTATTATGGATCATCACACAGTCAGCCAGATGTTCAGACTGGATTTGGCATTTTGTCTACCTATCGAGTCCTTACCCAGGACCTATTGTTGTTGTTGTGGACCTGTTATTGTTGTTGTTGTTATTATTATTATTATTATTATTATTATTACTATTATAAGGCAGCTGGGGTGGTCACAAATGGCGATCACACGATGGTCCTAGATACCTGCTGGTTGTGAAGCACCCAAATTGTGATCAAACGAATGTGGGGAGGCAGCGAAGTGTGAGGATCCATTATAAGTCTTTTTTTTTTTCAGGACCACTGTAACTTTTGGGCGGTCACTAAATGAACAGTCGTAAATTGAGGACTACATGTATTCAGGTCTTTGTGCCCTGAACTCTCATTTTGTATCCGTTCCATGCCTCTGGGCCAAGCTCCAGGCCTTCCTTGCCTGGCACCACTCCAGCAATTAAGGCTTTCCCTTAATTAATTAATGAGCTGCAGACCGAAAACTAAAGTGGTTCCATCCCTCCCCAATTTTATGACCCATTTTTTGCCACAATTCTTAAGCGAACCACTGCAGTCGTTAAGTGAACCACACCGTCAGTAAGTGAATCCAGCTTCCCCCACTGACTGCACTTGTCGGAAGAAGAGACTGGACAGCCCTTTGTCTAAAATGGTGTAGGACTTCCTGCCTGAGCAGGGGGTTGGACTAGATGACCTCCAAGGTCCCTTCCAACTTTATTATTATTATGGATCATCGCACAGTCAGCCAGATGTTCAGACTGGATTTGGCATTTTGTCTACCTATCAAGTCCTTACCCAGGATGATGATGATGATTAGTGTCTTGGGGAAACACCCAAAAAAGAACATTTCTAGCTACTTCTGCTTTCTCCCTTCTTATCTACAGTGTGCCAGCCTTAAAGGGTGAAGTCTTGATCTTCTGCATGTCAGCTTTGCTGGGTGAATTGCTTATGTAACCAAAGAAGGTATAAAAATAAGACTTTTCTGATATTTGGGCCTTTTCTCTCTCTTTTAGAGGAGCCCGTCTTTGTTCAGCTGAATAAAGACGTAAAGCTTGGAAGCAACTTCTGGTTTCCTGTATTTTTTTTTTTTTTTTTTATCAAACGAAACCTCAGAACCTGCACAGCGATGGAGATGGGGATGTGTTGCAGCGAACATAAAGGAAAGACAGTTCATGAATCACGGTCTGTTGAGGGTTTGGGTAAGAGCAAAAGGAGAGAGAAATAGAAGCGAGGCTCGGAGGAGATAACTCAGGTATATGGACAAGTCCTTTCTTTGTTAGATAACCAACAATTCAAGAAGGGCGATAATAGCAATTATTCTTCTGTCTGCTGGAATTCTAACTCAGGTAAAACTGAAGGTCCCACAAGTCCTTGTCTACTCTGGCTGACACCCTCATTTATCAGAAGGTGGTGGAAAGGACAAGGGGCCTGCTCTCTTGGGCCTCAAGGCGGACTCGGTGGACGGGATGAAAACTTTGGGGTCCTTGGTGGTCTCTGAGCTTGGCTGTTTCCTTGCTGACGTTTCATGACCAACTATGGCACATCATCAGTGCTAGGAGAGAGCGGAGGAGGAGGAGGAGGAATACTGTGGGGGTACCTGATGCTTTTTGAGTTTGGTTGCTTTCTTGAAGATGTTTCATGACCAACTAAGACATTCAGTTTTGGTCACCACGATGTAAAAAAGATATTGAGACTGAGTACAGAGAAGAGCAACAAAGATGATGAGGGGACTGGAGGCTAAAACATATAAGGAACGGTTGCTAGAATTGGGTAGGTCTAGTTTAACGAAGAGAAGGACAAGGGGGGACATGATAGCAGTATTCCAATATCTCAGGGGCTGCCATAAAGAAGAGGGAATCAAGCTATTTTCCAAAGCACCTGAAGGCAGGACAAGAAGCAACGGGTGGAAACTCATCAAGGAGAGAAGCAACCTAGAACTAAGGAGAAACTTCCTGACAGTGAGAACAATTAACAGTGGAACAGCCTGCCTCCAGAAGCAGTAAATGCTCCAACACTGGAAGTTTTTAAGAAGAGACTGGACAGCCATTTGTCCGAAATGGTGTAGGGTTTCCTGCCTGAGCAGGGGGTTGGACTAGATGACCTCCAAGGTCCCTTCCAACTTTACTACTATTACTATTACTATGTCATCAGTGCTAGAAGGGGATGGGGTTGGAGGAGGAGGAGGTGGTGGTGGTGGAGGAGGAGGAAGAGGAGAACTTTCCTTGGTGCACTCTGAGCTTGACTGTCTTTTTTGCAGAGGTTCAACTAGGGAACATCATCACTGTTGGGTAGAGCCTAGTTGGGTCAAGAAAGGTCTTCAAGAAGACAACCCAGCTCAGAGAGCATCAAGGACTGGGTTCAAACGTGCTGTACGTAAGGCAGGCATGACCAGTTGAGATGGACATTAGAAGACCTCCAAGGCCCCTTCCACCTTCTTTTTCTGAGACCTAACATGTTGAAGCACAGGTAAAGCTGGCAGGATGGGATCGTCTAGATAAGCAAAGTTCACGGGGGTGATCAACTTCGGATATCCATCTTTAGGGTTGAATTCGTTGAGGGAAGAAACTGATAGTCAATAAAAGATTCCAGTCCTTCCTTCTTTGGTTATCTTCTGACGCGATTTGGCCCCCTCAATAGTTCATAAAACCCAAGGGAGACCAATGATTTGCATAGGTTTTCCTCATTCCTGGATAGATGTTCAGCATATAAAGTTGGCCAACTCCAGGCTGCTTAAGAGAGCAGCAGAAAGACCGGGAGGCAGCCGTCAGCTCTGAGGGTCCATCCACACAGTCCTTGGATACGGGTTCCAGATATTTCTCAGGACAATTTCCCACCTCTGGTGGGTCTTCAGACACTGATGGGCCAAACCAGAAGGTCTGGAATGGCTTTGGCCAAATTCAGACATTCCTTGACCGAGAAAGATATGTCAGCATGCAGCTGTGTGAGAATTAAGTTCCTAGGCAGTAAAGGAAAGCATATCTCCTCCTCCTCCAGCTACCACCACCTCCTCCTCCTCCTCCTCCTCCTCCTCCTCCTCCTCCTCCTCCTCCTCCTCCTCCTCCTCCTCCTCCTCCTCCTCCTCCTCCTCCTCCTCCTCCTCTCAGCAAGTCCCACTCCCTTCTAGCACTGATGACATGGCTTGGTTGGGTCATGAAATGTCTGCAAGAAAACCACCAAGCTCACAGAGTACCCACAGTCATTCCTCCTCCTCCTCCTCCTCCTCCTCCTCCTCCTCCTCCTCCTCCTCCTCCTCCTCCTCCTCCTCCCCCCCTCCTCCTCCTCCTCTTCCAGTACCACCACCTCCTCCACCACCACCACCAACCTCCTTCTCGCCTTCTCCTTCTCCTTCACTTCTCCTTCTCTTTCTCTTCATTTCCTCCTCCTCTCCTCTTCCTCCTCCTTCTCTCCTCCTCCTCCTCCTCCTCCTCTTTTCCTTCCTCTTCTCTTCTTCCCCTTCTCCTAATTCTCCTAATTCTCTCCTCCCCCTCCAGCTACCTCCTCTTTGTCTTCTCTCCTCCTTCTCCTTCTCCTTCTCCTTCCCCTCCTTCTCCCTCTCCCTCTCCTGCTTCTCCTCTCTTCTTCTCCTCCTTCTCCTATTTTGTATTTTGTTTGCAAATATGAACACCCCAAATCCTCAATGTGTGAGGACGCAGGACTGTATTGAAGTTTTTATTGGGTGTGTCTCTCTGTGTGTGTGTGTGAGCTGGGTTGTTTTCTTGTAGACATTTCGTTACCAAACTAGGTAACATCACCAGGGCTAGAAGGGAGTGGGGTTTGTGGAGAGGAGGAGGAGGAAGAGGAGGAGAAGGATGATGATGATGATGATGATTGTGGGCTCCTTGGTGCTCTCTGAACCTGGTTGTTTTCTTGCAGACATTTTATTACCCAACTAAGTAACATCACCAGGGGAAAAAGGGAGAGGAGTTTGCGAGGAGGAGGAGGAAGAGGAGGAGGAAGAGGAGGAGGAGGAGGAAGAGGAGGAGGAAGAGGAGGAAGAGGAAGAGGAGGAGGAGGACTGTAGGGTCCTTGGTGGTCTCTAAGCTGGGTTGTTTTCTTGCAGACATTTTATTACCCAACTAGGTAACATCACCAGGGCTAGAAGGGAGTGGGGTTTGTGGAGAGGAGGAGGAGGAGGAGGTGGAGGATGATTATGGGTTCCTTGGGGTTCTCTGAACTTGGTAGATTTCTTGCAGACAGTTCATGACCCAACTAGGTAACGTCATCAGGGCTAGAAGGGAGGAGGAGGAGGAGGAGGAAGGTCAGTAGGAAACCCTATGCCATTTCAGACCAAAGGCTGTCCAGTCTCTTCTTAAAAACTTCCAGTGTTGGAGCATTCACCACTTCTGGAGGCAGGCTGTTCCGCTGGTTAATTGTTCTAACTGTCAGGAAGTTTCTCCTTAGTTCCAGGTTGCTTCTCTCCTTGATTAGTTTCCATCCGTTGCTTCTTGTCCTGCCTTCAGGCGCTTTGGAGAATAGCTTGACTCCCTCTTCTTTGGGACAGCCCCTGAGATACTGGAAGACAGCTTATCATGTCCCCCCCCCCCCGGTCTTACTCTTAATTAAAGTACACATACCCAATTCCAGCAACTGTTCCTTGTATGTTTTAGCCTCCAGTCCCCTCATCATCTTTGTTGCTCTTCTCTGCCCTCTTTCTAGAGTCTCAACATCTTTTTTACACCGTGGTGACCAAAACTGATGCAGGATTCCAAGTGTGGCCTTACCAAGGCCTTGTAAAGTGGTATTAACACTTCACGTGATCTTGATTCTATCCCTCTGTTAATGCAGCCCAGCACTGTGTTGGCTTTTCTTTTGAAGATGCTTCACTTCTCATCCCAGAAGCTTCCTCTGGTTCTGACCAAATGGTGGGGAAGGGAAGGATTTATACTCGTTGCAGACAGCCGGTCCTTTGCCTTCTTTTAGAGAGTTGTTGAGGCCATTTGGAGGTTGACCTGTGTCCTCAGGGTCAGCTGAGTGGTGCAAATGGGTGTGAAACCTTCTGGGCTGCACGATGTCTTCTGCCCTGGGTCCCTTCATGGTTGGAGACGGGCGCAGGATGATGGGGATGAGTCTGTGTGGTCTGCATCTCCAACTGAAGCGCAAATGGTTCCTGTAGTCTGCAAGGTTTTCTGGACATGCGTTCATGCTCCCGCATCCTTCGAAGGGGGTCCCTCCCAAAGTGCATGGCTAAATGTCCGTGGAGGTTCTCAGTCATCCAGGCATGGTTGTCCCAAAGGTGCTGCTTCAAGAGGCAATTGGACTTCCTTGTTTGTCCTTTGAAGACCTGTTGCTTCTCATCCCAGAAGCTTCTTCAGCTCTGAGTGGAATGGTGGGGCATGGAAGGACTGGGAATGTCCATAGGCATTGCAGATCATTGATAGATGCAACACTGAGTGAGCAAAGAACTCTGAATATCCAGGCCCCTTGGCTACCTCAATGATATGGTCCAATTCAGGCTGAGTCAAGAACGAGGGAGAGTTAGCGCCTTCCAGCCCACTGACTCTTCGTCTGTCTTCCTCCTGCAGTTTTGTAGGATCCTGAATGTTGTCTTTGATGTGGTGAAAGATAGGCTGTTGGACACGATGAACGGTGAGCTTCCAAGTCCCGTCACCTCATGGGCGCTCTCTCTGAGATCCATCAAACTAGGAACATTTTCTGCTTAAGTCAGGGAGGGCTGAGATGTTGGCCATGGATGGTGGTTGGTGGATTGGGTTGGGTCAACAAGGGATGGTATAAGGCTCCTGCCTTGAGCAGAGGGTAGTCTAGACAGGTCTCCTGCTTGAGTGGGAGGTTGGACTTGTGGGGTCCTTGGTGCTCTCTGAGCTTGGTTGTTTTCTTGCAGATGTTTCATGACCCAACTAGGGAACATCATCAGTGCTAGAAGGGAGGAGGAGGAAGGACAGAAGAAGGAAGGAAGGAAGGAAGGAAGGAAGGAAGGAAGGAAGGAAGGAAGGAAGGAAGGAAGGAAGGAAGGAAGGAAGGAAGGAAGGAAGGAAGGAAAGAAAGACTGTGGGGCCCATGGTGCTCTCTGAGCTTGGTTGTTTTCTTGCAGACATTTCATGACCCAATTAGGGAACATCATCAGTGCTAGAAGGGAGAGGAGGATTTGCAGAGAGGAGGAGGAGAAGGAGGAGGAGGAGGAGGAGGAGGAGGAAGACTGTAGAGTCCTTGGTGCGCTCTGAGCTTGATGGTTTTCTTTGAGCTATTTCATGACCCAACTAGGTAGCATCATCAGTGCTAGAAGGGAGAGTGGGATTTGCTCTCTTTCTATGTACTGGTGGCTGAGCTAGACATACATTCCTGGGGGAACCAACCTTCTGAGCCACCAGCCTTCTCTTCGATGGGCCCCCGTGTTTCCCCACAGTGGTCATCCCCTTTGAGCCCTACGGGAGGCTGAAGTGTCAAATGGCCAGCTTGCCTAGAATGCAGAACAGCATCTTATGGCTAAATCTCTTTGTAAGTATCCTAAGGAACTCCCTGCCACCCCCAACCCCCCGTCCAAAGAAACCTTGACTTGGGTGTGGGTCTCTGGGGTCCCTCCTGGGGGCCTCAGCTTTCCATGCTCTGCTGGGGCCCCTGGGAAGGTCTCCTCTGCTTTCTTCCTAGCTTGACTTTGACATCAAGGACCACGGTCTAATCACCCTCCCCGACTTGGCCCCCGACATAACCCTGCCCTCGCTGGAGAGCTATCGCCACTGCCAGTGTGTCCACGCAGCCGTCCTCAACATCTTCCTCTCGGTGGTCCTCAGGATAGAACCTCAGGAGCTCAGCTGCCCGCCCGACGTGGTATGGGGGAGGGGTATGGGGGAGGGGAGGGGAGAGGAAGAGAAGAGAAAGGAGAAGAGGAGGAGAAGGAGGAGTTAAACTGGGTTTCTTAGTGCTGTCTGAGCTCAGTGGTTTTCTCATAGACGTTTCATGACCCAACTAGGGAACATCAACAGTGCAAAAGGGAGGAGGAGGAGGAGGAGGAGGAAAACTGGGTTTCTTAGTGCTGTCTTAGCTCAGTGGTTTTCTCATAGACGTTTCATGACCCAACTAGGGAACATCATCAGTGCTAGAAGGGACGAGGGTTTGCAGAATGGAGGAGGAGGAGGATGAAGAGAGGAGGAGGAAGAGGAAGAGGAGGAGGGGGAGGAGGATGAAGAGGACGATGACATCTCGAGTTTCCTAGTTTAGACCCTGTCCAAGTTGTGGTTCCAACCTGGGGCCTGATTTACATCTTTTCCATGGCGTTCTTTTTAAAGATCCTTTAAATTTAAAAATGACATTTTGTTTATTCATTTGAAAATTTTAAAATACATTTGGAACCAAGGTAGCTTTTCACAAAAGGTAGCATCTGGGTGTGGACAGATAATTACTGAAGCGGTAGGATTAGTCCTCAGCAGAACGAGAGTCAAGGATACTCTGCTTAATATGACTGAACGTTGAAAATCTACACTAGACATGTAGGGATGCAGGTATTCTAATTATTAACCCTTTCCCTCTCTCCATCTTCCCCTCCCTCCCTCCCTCCCTCCCTCCCTCCCTCCCTCCCTCCCTCCTTCCTTCCTTCCTTCCTTCCTTCCTTCCTTCCTTCCTTCCTTCCCTTCCCTCCCCTTCCTCCCTTCCTCCTTCCCTTCCCTTCCCTCCCCTCCCTTCCCTCCCCTTCCTTCCTTCCTTCCTTCCTTCCTTCCTTCCTTCCTTCCTTCCTCCTTCCCTTCCTTCCCTTCCCTCCCCATCCTTCCTTCCTTCCTTCCTTCCTTCCTTCCTTCCTTCCTTCCTTCCTTCCTTCCTTCCTTCCTTCCCTTCCTTTCCCCTTCCTTCCTTTCCTTCCTTCCTTTCTTTCCTTCCTTCCCTCCCTCCTCAGTTTTCTAGAGCTGATGAACTACTAGCTGCTATCTTAGCTCTGATTCCAGATGTAAGTATGAGTCAAAAACATTTCCTTACCAAACTTTTCTGACAATCCAGCTGGAGAAAGGAACAAGAGAATTTCTGGATAAAGAGAAAACGTTATAGAAAAATACAAATCATCACAGGGAGGGTTAGTATCACTTTATATTACATTAGTGAGATCACCCTTGCAAATACTGCAATCCGTTCAAGTCACAGCGATACAGAAAAAAGGTGTCGAGACTCTGGAAAGAGTGCAGAGAAGAGCAACAAAGATGATTAGGGGACTGGAGGCTAAAACTTACAAGGAACGGTTGCTGGAACTGGGGATGTCTAGTTTAAAGAAGAGAAGGAGGAGGGGGGACAGGAGAGCAGTCTTCCAGTATCTTAAGGGCTGCCCCAAAGAAGAGGGAGTCAAGCTGTTCTCCAAAGCCCCTGAAGGCAGGACAAGAAGCCACGGATGGAAACTCATCAAGGAGAGAAGCAACCTAGAATTAAGTGGAAACTTCCTGACAGTGAGAACAATTAACCAGTGGAACAACCTGCCTCCAGAAGTTGTGGGTGTTCCACCACTGGAGGTTTTTAAGAAGAGACTAATCAAACCAATCAAACTAGTCAGTTTAGAGAAAAGAAGGACCAGGGGTGACATGATAGCCATATTCCCGTACTTCAGGGGCTGCCACAAAGAGGAGGGGGTGTCCACCTATTCTCCAAAGGACCTGAAGGCAGGACAAGAAGCCACGGATAGAAACTCATTAAGGAGAGAAGCAACCTAGAATATAAGGAGGAATTTCCAGACAGTGAGAACAATTAACCAGTGGAACAGCTTGCCACCAGAAGTTGTGGGTGCTCCAGCACTGGAGTTTTAAGAAGAGACTGGACAGCCACTTGTCTAGGCCAGGGACTCCTACTTGACCAGGGGGCTGGAGTAGAAGACGACCCAAGGTCCCTTCTGTTATTCGATTTCACTCTGTTTCCTTCCGCCAAATGCCATACTCAGATTTTCGCTCTCTTTTTTTACAGCCACCTTCCTTCATCTCCTTGGTAAGTAACATCCCTACAGGACTTTGCAACTGGGGTATTTGGGATTCGCTTCCTCCATTTGTTTTCCTTTTCACCACCCCATTTTGCTCCAGGCCATCCTGTATTTCCGGATCAGCCTCTTGCAAAGTCCCGTGATTCACTTTGGGAACGACGTTGCCATAGTCCAGGTTTCGGTCCAACTTGAATTCTTCGTCAAGAACTCGGACGGCTCCACAACTTCCGTAGTCATTTTCCAAGAGGTACGTCAACCCCACCCACCTCTAAGGAGCCCCAGCAGTCTCAGCTTGGCTTCCCAGGATGACTGTTGACCTCTAGGAGATGTTCTAACTTTGGTCAAGGCTGGCTGGGGACTTCTGGGCGTTGAAGTCCCCAAGTCTTCCAGTTGCTAAGGTTGGACATTCTTGATTTAGATGCTCTTCAATTCTTGAGTTGAAGTCCCCAAGTCTTAAAGTTGTCAAGGGTGGACACCCCTGCTTTAGATGCTCTTCAATTCTTGAGTTGAAGTCCCCAAGTCTTAAAGTTGCCAGGGGTGGACATTCTTGATTTGATGCTCTTCAATTCTTGAGTTGAAGTCCCCAAGTCTTAAAGTTGTCAAGGGTGGACACCCCTGGTTTAAATACTTTTCAATTCTTGAGTTGAAGTCCCCAAGTCTTAAAGTTGCCAGGGGTGGACATTCTTGATTTGATGCTCTTCAATTCTTGAGTTGAAGTCCCCAAGTCTTAAAGTTGTCAAGGGTGGACACCCCTGGTTTAGATGCTCTTCAATTCTTGAGTTGAAGTCCCCAAGTCTTAAAGTTGTCAAGGGTGGACACCCCTGGTTTAAATACTCTTCAATTCTTGAGTTGAAGTCCCCAAGTCTTAAAGTTGCCAAGGGTTGACATCCCTGGTTTAAATGCTCTTCAGTTCTGGAAGTTGAAGTCCCCAAGTCAACGTTGAACACTCCAGGTCTAATGGCTCTCTCTTCTCTCCATTGTCTATCTGCAGACCCTCAGCCTGACTGCGACCTTCTCGTTGACCAAAGGCTATCTATATGCCTCCTTGTCCATCTCAGGGTGAGACCTGGTTCTCTTCTTACCAGACTTCCAATGCTCTTTGGGACCTCCATTTTGAAGGAGATCTGTTGCCCACTCTGCCTTGGGAACCCCCATCTGGGTTTGCCTTCAATAAGATATCCTGTCCCCCAGGTAGACAAAATGATTGGCTCTCAGGGATGTCCACAGAGATGCCCAAAAAGTCAAGGTGATTGAAACTCTGCTCCTTTTTTATGGTCTTGCATCATTACCGTCTTGACTTGTCGGAGCATATCTTCTGGGTCAACCGTGATGGCCATGCTCTTACAACAGGCCATTTCTAAGCCAGGATGGATTCGTGTGATAGAATGGTTGCCCCAAAACAGGGTAAGCTAAAACTTCCTATCCTTATTTAGGAACCAAGCCATCAGATGGAGTTTCTTCTGTTTGACCTGGATCAAAATTTCTTTGTGAGCCTGCTAAGAAATTGATCTCTGTGAAACGAAGACCCCGTTAGGATGAGGTTGCAGAACAAAACCTGCCCCCCAAAAACCAATAATTGCAGCTCACTGGAATTATTTATTCAGTACGCCCTGGAAGAATTCCCTCCAGAAAATAATGGGGGGGGGGCCCTACAGACATATTTATGCATTTCAGAAAAGGAGGAGAAAACAATGTATGCATATATTTTCTTTCTTTCTTTCTTTCTTTCTTTCTTTCTTTCTTTCTTTCTTTCTTTCTTTCTTTCTTTCTTTCTTTCTTCCTTCCTTCTTTTTCTTCCTTCCTTCCTTCCTTCCTTCCCTCCCTCTTTCTTTCTTTCTTTCTTTCTTTCTTTCTTTCTTTCTTTCTTTCTTTCTTTCTTTCTTTCTTTCTTTCCATGGAAATCTTCTGATAAAACCTACCACGGGGCTGTGAACTACTAGGCCACATTCCTTATGTCTCAATTGATCTATTTAACGGTCCCATTCAAGGCCTATTTATATATACCAGATCTCTCTCTCTCTCTCTCTCTCTTATCTATCTATTTTTCTGTTTTGTCTGTCAATCATTTTTCTTGTCTGCCCATCCATCCATCCCTCTACCCCTCCATCCCTCCATCCCCCATCCCTCCATCCCTCCATCTATCCCTGCCTCCCTCCCTCCTTCTATCCATCCATCCATCCATCCATCCATCCATCCCCCTCCCTCCCTCCATCCCTCTTTCCCTCCCTCCCTCCCTCCTTCCCTCTGTCCATCCGTCCGTCCATCCCTCCATCCACCCACCCACCCACCCACCCACCCACCTATCTATCTATCTATCTATCTATCTATCTATCTATCTATCTATCTATCTATCTATCTATCTATCATCTCTTATCTCCATCCATTCATCCATCCATCCATCCATCCATCCATCCATCCATCCATCCATCCATCCATCCATCCATCCATCCATCTATCTATCTATCTATCTATCTATCTATCTATCTATCTATCTATCTATCTAATTTCCCCCCCAATGCCTACACAGTATGATCAGAAAGTCTAGTAGGGGATTTTGTGACTTTCTTTGATGATGAATAAATTCTCTTTTCTGCCTTTCAGCCATAAAGCTGTGTTGATTTCTTCAGCTTTGGGCATTACGGATGTAAGTGAGATTCTCTGCAATATCAGTCCGTTCTCTTTTGGCCAAAGGCCCCTGCTGGCTTCCTTTTCTCTTCCCTTTTAGGTCAGCAGCCTTGAACCTCACTGGGGCAACCTGCTGGGAGAAACCTTTTTGGTTTCCGTCAACGGTAAGATATTCTGCAGAAACACAGATGGGGGCCGAAGCAAGAACCCCCCCCCCCGGCATCCTGTTTGCCCTTTGGGCCTTGTAGGATGGTGCTGTCAAGAAGTGATGGCAAAAAGGCCAAATGTGGAGGACGCAATTTTTTTCTGAGGTGCTTGGTGGTCTCTGAGCTTGGCTGTTTTTCTTGCAGACGTTTTACGACCCTACTAGGGAATATCATCAGTGCTAGAAGGGAAGAGGGGGAGGAAGAGGGAGAAGGAGGAGGGGGAGGAGGAGGACTGTGTGGTTCCTGGGTGGTCTCTGAGTGTGATGGTTTTCTTGCAGAGGTTTCATGACCAGCTAGGGAAAATTATGAGTACTAGAAGGGAGTAGGGAGGGAGGGAGGGAGGGAGGGAGGAGGAGGAGGAGGAGGAGGAGGAAAAGGAGAAGGAGGAGGAGGACTGTGTGGTCCTTGGTGCTCTCTAAGCCAGGTGGTTTTCTTGCAGACATTTCATAACCCAACTAGGTAACATCATCAGTGCTAGAAGGGAGGGGGATTTGCAGAGGGGAAGAGGAGGAGGAAAAGGAGGAAGAGGAGGAGGAGGAGAAGGAGAAGGAGGAGCACTGTGGGGTCCTTGGTGTTCTCTGAAGTTGGTGTTTTTCTGGCAGACATTTCATGACCCAACTAGGTAACATCATCAATGCTAGAAGGGAGTGGGGTGTGTGGAGAGGAGGAGGAAGAGGAGGAAGGGGGCGGAGGAGGAGTACTGAGGGGTCCCTGTTGCTCTCCGAGCTGGGTGGTTTTCTTGCAGACCTTTCATAACCCAGCTAGGGAACATCCTCAGTGCTAGGAGGAATGGGGATTTGCTCTCTGTTTACATACCAGTGGCTCCCCTTGGCAAATGTTGGTGGGTGACCCTAGAAACGGCCTTGATGGTTGTATCACCCACACTTCCCTGTCCGCTCCAGTGCATCATATTTGTGGTCAAGCCCCAGCTTAGCCACCTGGGGATTCTGGGCATTGAAGTCCACCCAGCTCTGCTGTCGATGTTGGGTCTATCAGTGGCCTCTCTTCCAATCAGTCTGACTCATTGGAGGAATTTTTTTAATTGTTATTTTTGGCCAGGCTTCCTTAGCGGGGGACTCCCTCTGCCTGCCATCCTGACTGCTGTGCTGGACAACGTCCTAATCCGGTTTATCGAGGTAAGTTCTAAGCAGGTTATGGGAACCGTCTGCTTCAAATCGACACCTGTTCTGGTGTCCTTGAAAAGGTTTCAGGCTCTTACGGTCTTCAGCAGAAGCATAGAAATTTAGTTGCTCCATCTAAGACATTCGAAATTAACACCTCCCCCCTTACTCTAAAGGCAAGTTGAAACACAGAAGCATGTAGCTGCCAACGTTTCATCCTTGACGCTGAGTTGTTGTCATAGTGTCCTGGCTGCTATGCTGTTTCTTTTTTTTGGGGGGGGGAAGGAGGGGGAATCCGCTCTGGATATGCTTCAGCTAATTCATCTCCCTTTCTCTTTCCTTGCTCAGCACGGGCTTCTCCTGTGTATCTGAACCAGAGGATCAGTCCTATGCAGAGGTCTTCTTCAGAGCAAAAAGGAAAACAGGACCCACACGGATGAATATCTGACGTGGCTTTCTTGTTTGATGCGTCTAACTTTAGTCCAATTGTTTCTTATTCATGCAGATCTTGCAATAAAGGTTTTCCAGGACAATCTGAATGGTTCTTTCTTTCTAAAAAAAAGTATAGAACTGGACACTTGGGGGTGATGTTGAAAGCTTCATCTCTGGTGGGTGATTTGCACTTTTAATTCAAAGGTACTTGGGGGGGGGTGTCCAACAGTTTTTTTCCCCCACTTGGAATACCTCAAAATCTTCTAATGTGGGCTATTTTTCCTTTGAAAATGTTTCACTTCTCATCCAAGAAGCTTCTTCTTCTTCTTCTTCTTCTTCTTCTTCTTCTTCTTCTTCTTCTTCTTCTTCTTCTTCTTCTTCTTCTTCTTCTTCTTCTTATTCTTCTTCTTCTTCTTCTTCTTCTTCTTCTTCTTCTTCTTCTTCTTCTTCTTCTTCTTCTTCTTCTTCTTCTTCTTCTTCTTCTTCTTCTTCTTCTTCCTCCTCCTCCTCCTCCTCCTTCTTCTTCTACCGAAGAAGCTTCTCCTTCTCCTTCTCCTTCTCCTTCTCCTCCTCCTCCTCCTCCTCCATCATCATCATCATCATCATCATCATCATCATCATCTTCTTCTCCTTCTCCTTCTCCTTCTCCTCCTCCTCCTCCTCCTCCATCATCATCATCATCATCATCATCATCATCATCATCATCATCATCATCATCTCCTTCTCCTTCTCCTTCTCCTTCTCCTTCTCCTTCTCCTTCTCCTTCTCCTTCTCCTTCTTCTTCTTCTTCTTCTTCTTCTTCTTCTTCTTCTTCTTCTTCTTCTTCTTCTTCTACCGAGGAAGCTTCTTGGATGAGAAGTGAAACATTTTAATAAGAAAAGACCAAGAAAGTTCAGGCGTCTTTTGGAAAAAGGCAACTTTTGATCACCGAATGAACCAGGATATCCTAAAAGTGTAATATTTGGACCGCATGAAGACCTTCCCGTCCGTTCCATGAATGAGTCAACTTGGTAAGAAAACACGCTCAACACCTTCCCGTCTTCGTATACCTAAATAAATATTGATATCCTCTACTGAAGTTTCCGCCACGTTCTAAACAAACATCCATTGTCCTGCAATTCACCACAGCTGAAGGGGAGCAGATTAACACAATGAAGTGACTCAACTTAGCTATAAAGAGATTCCAAGTTCTCATGAAGGTATGGTTGCTGAGCGAAGTTTCCTGAGAACTTAATCAGTCACGCTAATGAGTTGTCTTAATGTCATGGCAAACAAGGTTGGTCAAAAGAGAGGGAAGAAAGGAGAAGGTGTCATTTGATATGGAAATAAACACTCTTTTTGTTGGTTTAGCAGGAAGCCTTGATATTCTTTTATGAGCACAACTTCTCAGCAAGGAGAAGTTGTGGTTTGAAAGAGAATTAATTAATGTTTGAGAAGGCAAGAAATGGCCAAATCTCCCTCCCTGCCTCCCTCCCTCCCTCCCTTCCTTCCTTCCTTCCTTCCTTCCTTCCTTCCTTCCTTCCTTCCTTCCTTCCTTCCTTCTTCTCATTTGCTTCTTTTTTCATTCCCTTCTCATTTCCTTCCTTCCTCTCATTCCCTTCTCTTTTCATTCCCTTCTCATTCCCTTCTCATTCCCTTCCTTCCTTCCTTCTTTCCTTCCTTCCTTCTTTCCTTCCTTCCTTCTTTCCTTCCTTCCTTCTTTCCTTCCTTCCTTCTTTCCTTCCTTCCTTCTCCTTCCTTCCTTCTTCTCATTTGCTTCTCTTTTCATTCCCTTCTCATTTCCTTCCTTCCTTCCTCTCATTCCTTTCTCTTCTCATTTCCTTCCTTCCTTCCTTCCTTCCTTCCTTCCTTCCTTCCTTCCTTCCTCTCATTCCCTTCTCTTCTCATTCCCTTCCTTCCTTCTTCTCATTTGCTTCTCTTTTCATTCCCTTTTCATTCCCTTCCTTCCTTCTTTCCTTCCTTCCTTCCTTCCTTCCTTCCTTCCTTCCTTCCTTCCTTCCTTCCTCCCTCCCTCCTTCCTTCCTTCTTTCCTTCCTTCCTCCTTCCTTCTTCCTTTCATTCTTCTCCTTCCTTCCTTCTTCTCATTTGCTTCTCTTCATTCTTTTCATTCCCTTCCTTTCATTTCCTTCCTTCCTTCCTTCCTTCCTTCCTTCCTTCCTTCCTTCCTTCCTTCCTCCTTCCTTCCTTCCTTCCTTCATTCCCTTCTCTTCTCATTCCCTTCCTTCCTTCTTCTCATTTGCTTCTCTTTTCATTCCCTTTTCATTCCCTTCCTTCCTTCCTTCCTTCCTTCCTTCCTTCCTTCCTTCCTTCCTTCCTTCCTCCCTCCCTCCCTCCTTCCTTCCCTTCTCCTTCCTTCCTTCTCTCCTCCTCCTCCCTTCTAGCACTGATGATGTTACCTAGTTGGTTCATGAAATGTCTGCACAAAAAAAACCCAAGCTCAGAGAGCACCAAGGACCTCACAGTTCTTCCTTCCTTTCTTCCTTCCTTCCTTCCTTCCTTCCTTCCTTCCTTCCTTCCTTCCTTCCTTCCTCTCCTCCTCCTTCCCTTCCCTCCCCTCCCTCCCTCCCTCCCTCCCTCCCTCCCTTCTCCTTCCGTCCTTCTCTCCTCCTCCTCCCTTCTAACACTGATGGCGTTCCCTAGCTGGGTCGTGAAATATCTGCACGAAAACAGCCCAGGCAGCACCACGGACCCCACAATGCTGAGCCACAAACCTCTGCTTCCATTGGCGAGAACTCACCATTTGCTGTGTAGAGATAATTGACCCTGACGATATGCAGGAGCCGCTGCAGCGTTTCGCAAAGCTGAAAGCCAAGGGGGGGGGGGAAGGATTAATGTGAGTAGCGCAATCAAGGAACAGAGACGCTGGGCTGGACGGGAAAAGGGGTTTTCTGCCCTATCCATATCTCCAGGGATCCCCAACCTTGCCCACTTTATGACTTGTGGACTCCAACTCCCAGAATTCCTCAGCCAGATGGAAGCAGTGTCTATTAAGGCCGCCTTTTGCAATTGACTAATGGCGAATTTGTCAATGCCGATGGTGTTCAAATGGTATTATCATCATCATGATCATGATTATGATCATCATCATTATTATTATTATTGTCAAGTGGACTCCAAGGTCCCTCTCACAGGTTGCTGTTTTTGAGCTCCACTCCAGAGGTGCAGGCAGATGCCTACAAGGTTTACGTGGAAGAAAAGAGGGTCACCTTAGCCCAGTGGTTCTCAACCTTTTTAATGCCATAACCCCCAACCGGTCGTAAGTCGAGGACTACTCAACTGGTGCAGCACCGTTTGCAGAATGGGACTTTTGGCGGGCTCAGCAGGGCAGAGACAGCCTGGACAATTCTATTGGCTTTGGAAAGCCAATAGAATTAGACTCTATTCAAGAGAGTCTATTCAATTGGCTTTCAAAAACCAATAGAATAAAAGGGAGGAGCACAGCTAAGGAAAAGGGGGAAAAAAATGGCGGACTGCGTTGTTCGGCGACCCCCGTGACATGGTCGTTCGACCCCAAATGGGGTCCCGACCCACAGGTGGAGAACCACAGCCGCCGCCTCGCTAGGCTTCCTCAGAGTCCTCTCGGCCACCATCCCCAGCCATAATTTGCCAACTACTTACCAACCTGGGCAGGGATGTTGCAAGGACCGTTTTTGCAATCGGCTTCACTTTAGCTACGTGCAGGCTGCAGAAACAAGCAAAGATGGGAAGGAAGCCGGGCTAGTGTGCCTGTAGGAAGACCAACCCCCCCCCCATGCCCACCCTTGGCCCTCTTTCCTCCTTGGCCTCCCGGAGAAGACAATAACCCCAAACACTGCTTAAGTCTTTGGATGCCGAAGCCTCAACTGACCAAGCGTGGCTTTACATAGGTGAAACGGTCAAATATCAACCGCTTAATTCAACAAAGGGGATCCCTTCTAGATGTTGGAAGTTGTTCGCTTCTGTAAGAGGGTTTGTGGGGCGCTGGGTGTCTCCGAGCTTAGTGGCTTTCTGGCGGACGTTTCATGACCCAACTAGAGAATATCATGCTAGTAAAGAGTGGGGTTTGTGGAGAGGAGGAGGAGGAGGAGGAGGAGGAGGACTGTGGAGTCCCTGGTGCTGCCTGGTCTTGGTGGTTTACTTGCAGATGTTTTGTTACCCAACTAGGTAACATCATCAGTGCTAGAATGGAGTGGGGTGTGTGGAGAAGAGGAGGAAGAAGAGGAAGAGGAAGAGGAGGAGGTGGTGGTGGTGGTGGAGGAGGACCGTGGAGTCCTTGGTGCTCTCTGAGCTTGGCTGTTTTCTTGCAGATGTTTCATGACCCAGCTAGGGAATATCATCAGTGCTAGTAAAGAGTGGGGTTTGTGGAGAGGAGGAGGAGGAGCGGGAGGAGGAGGAGGAAGAGGAGGAGGAGGAAAGAACCATGGGTCCCTTGGTGCTCTCTGGATTTGGTGGTTTACTTGCAGACATTTTGTTACCCATCTAAGTAACATCATCAGCGCTAAAAGGGAAGGGGGTTGGTGGGGAGGAGGAGGAGGTGGAGGAGGAGGAGGAAGAGGAGCACTGTGGGGTCCTTGGTGCTCTCTGAGCTTGGCTGTTTTCCGGCAGACATTTCATGGCCCATCTAGGTAACAGCATCAGTTCTGGAAGGAAGTGGGACTTGCTCTCTGTTCACAGACAAGTCCCTTGCCCTGTCAGTATTGGTGGGAATGTTGTTCTCCTCTTGGCGGTTCCTCGTTTCGATTGTTGTTTACTGTTAGCTGGTTTGTCTGAACTGGTAGTTCCTTGACTGGGCTATTGTTTTGACTAGCATTCATTCGTGACTGTTGGTCCAGCGTTAATCTTGGTGTTGATCTCTGCTTATCTGGCTGTTGGTTGCTGGGGAGCAGGTGGTTTGGCCTCTTTGTTTCCTTTTGGATGGGTTGAAAGGCAGGTAGCTGTTGCCTGTCTCACTCTGTCTGTTGATGGTTGATTTGAAGTAAAAGACATCCTTAACCAAAGAACTACCAACTGAGGCAAACAAATTGACAGTAAACAACAGCCTAATCGACAAACCATTAAGAACACTTGTGGGTTGGCCTACGAGAGAGTGACTGGCCCCAAGTCCCCCAGCTGGCTTTCATGGCTAAGATGGAACTAGAACTCCCAGTCCCTAAAGTCCCCCAGCTGGCTTGGATGGCTAAGATGGAACTAGAACGCCCAACCCCCAAAGTCCCCCAGCTGGATTTCATGGCTAAGATGGAACTAGAACTCCCAATCCCCAGAGTCCCCCCCCAACTGGCTTGCTTGGCTAAGATGGAACTAGAACTCCCAATCCCCAGAGTCCCCCAACTGGCTTTCATGGCTAAGATGGAACT